TTGTTGTTGTTGTTGTTGTTATTATTATTATCATTATTATTATGCTGGGATGACAGCACTATCCCAGCATTTTAAGACACAGGGTTCCCCTGACCATGCATTTATCACCCTTTCCATTAATGTCCACCAAGGGATCTTAGACACCAGGTTCATATCTTTCATCCTTAGGTCTTTGGGACAGATGGTGGATAATGAAGGGAAGAAGGATGGATGGGTGGCTGGACAAACAGGTAGATGGATGGATGGATGGGTGGATGGGAGGATAGGTGGGTGGATGAATACATAACTTCCCCAGTGGTCACTTCAAGTCAGCACTCCAGCACTGCCACAAGAGGGCTGCTCCCAGCCTCCCAGGCCACAGGGTGCTCACCAGCTTCTCGCGCTCCAGCTCCGAGCTGAACCTGGCCTGCAGTTCTACTTGAGTCTGCAGGCGTTTCTTCTCCTCGTCCGCTGCACGGGATGCTGCTTCCTCCAGTTTCTACCCAATCAAAAGCCCAGCCCCAGAAAAATGGGATCATTATAGTCACATACATAGAGGGGAAGATGGACACATGGAAGCATGTGAGAGAAGCCAAAGATCTATAACACTCAATAAAAATAGAATAAAAACTCTCAGACCCATTGGAATTCCATACCAACAACTACCCAATCAACATACAAAAGAAACTAGGTTAATGACTGGCTACAATTAACCTAAACAACATTTCACAAATGAAAGCTTCAGTACAGTCCTGGAGTCATACTTATTTGCAATGGTATTCATCGGGTTTCAGATCCATCTTTCTGTACAGTCTTGTCACCATACACATTATTCCTTAAAATTTTTACCAGAGCTCAACTCCCAGAACACCTTTCCCAGGAGAACAACCATAACTGGTAAAAATTAATTTAAACAAATCTTCAACATTTCTGAAAATTTCCAGGGAGTGGTGGCACATGCCTGTAATTCCAAAACTTGGGAAGCTGAGATAGGAGGGCTGCTGCAAGTTTGCGGCCAGCCTGGGGTACACAGGAGGTTCAAAGCCAGCCTGAACTATATAGTGAGAGCCTATCTTCAAAAAACAGTTTCTGAGGGCTGGTCAGATAGCTCAGCGGACTAAAGCACCTGTTTAGGCAGAGTGCAGCAGCCAGAGTTCAGTCCCCTGCCCCCGGGGCGCAATAAGACTGCGATTGAGATTGGGCATGGTGGCATGCACCTGTAATCTCAGCGCTTGGGAGGCTGAAAACAGGGGATTCACTACCAGTCTGATCTATGTAGTGAGACCCCATAGACCCTGTCCTAAATACATTAAAATAAAGAAAGAAAGAATAAAAAAAGTTTCTGAAATCACCCTAAAGGCATACAGCAAAGGAGAACATTTATCTAAGAAAACCTACCAGGGGTGGTGGTGTCTCTTATTGATACAGCACTTGCATAGGTACACACAGGCCCAGGATTCAATCCTCAGCCCTACTTAAAGGAAAGGAGGGAAGAAGGGAAAGGAGGGAGGGAGGGAAGAAAGGAAGAATGAAGGAACAAAGGAAGAATGGAAAGAAGGGGGAGAGACTGACTGATGGGCCAACCAACCAGAGCAGACCAGAGCACACCTCGGTATGAACAGGGCACTCCCTCCTCTCGCTCACGACATGCATAAGAAAGATGGAGCCAAGAATAGAGGCTTCGTCTCCCCTCGGCCCACTCCCAGGGCTACACTAGTTCTCCAGGAGGGCAGCTGCCAGTGTTCCTCATCTCTCAGCTCCACACTACAGAAATTCTACTCCAGGCAAGCGGGGCTGAGAATTCTGAGGTGCTCATCCTACGACAGCCCCCACTCACAGGGGCTGAAAAGACTGGCCTGAACACCCCTGTCCCAACCTGCTCTGTGGGAAGGCAACTCACACAGGGAGGGGGCTGGGGTGCAGCTCGGGGGTGGTAGAGCACTGGCCTAGGTCTTGGCTTCAGTCCCCGGCACTTCGGGTTTGGGGTTTGTGGTAAGAAACTAAGAGCAAGGACAAGAATGACAGGCACTGCAAGCATGAACCTACTATTGTAAATTGCCATCTGCAGTGCAGTTGCTTAGTTCACAGGTGTCTGTATATATAGTCAGGGTGAGAATCAGTCTAATTAACTGCAAGATTCAAAAATCTTTTGAAGATTCTCAGGATCATTGCCTTACCCATCTTCTACATATAACAGTATGGCTTGCCCCCAACAATTTCTGACACTGCCAGTCAAGTGGAAGACACAATACTATTATGGACTACTGGACTCTTTTAGAATATTTTTGCTGAGTTAACACACCTACAATATTCAAATGACGGAACTAAACAAAAAAGGGGATATATTGGGGCCGGGGAGATGGCTCAGTGGAATAAGCACTTCCCTGGCAAGCACATGGACCTGAGTTCAATCCCCAGTTCCACCAAAAAAAAAAAAAAAGGGGGGGGGGATATATAAATGAATGTCCATTTTGTATCCGTGTATTCAAAATGGTTAGGATAGATATATAGTTACATTCTCTTAATGAATAGAGGGATTTGTCATAATAGTGTTTGTAAACAGGATATCATGTCTGCATCTTGTACAGCAATTAACCACTAGGAAGACAGTATGCAATGTGTTAATTATTGAAACTGTCCTACCAATTTGATTTGAAACTGTCTCACTGCTATTTGTCTGTCAATAAAATTATGGGGGGAAGAAAAAAGAAACTAAGAGCAGCGCAGAACAATGCAGAGCTGAGTCACAAGGAGCTAAGAGAACAACTCAACCACAGGCCAGCCAGGCTTCTGACCGAGAAACAGGGAAGAAGAGAGCAGGAAGCATAGCCCTCGTGTGGCAGGAACAAGTCTCAAAGACTGGCCTTGACGGCATGTGGGTCTGAATTTAAATGCTCTCAGCCTATGTGGGGCAGTTTAGGGTCCAGGGTGCTGTAGCAAGCAAGAAACAGTCACTCCGAAATTAGTGAAGTCTAGCAGTGAAGTAGTCTAGCAAAACACCAACAGAGGTGGGCCCCCAACAGAGAGACAGGCATTCAAAGGGAACTCCACTAAAGTCAGGGTCTCCTCTGGGGGACTAGGTGCATGACCAGGGCTATGCCTCTGAGAAGCACAGTCAGAGATTTGACACAGTCAGGAAACAGCCCAGCAACAGTTCAGCTCAATCTCCAAACAAGTAATCAACAATCTGCTCTTGGGCGTAGGAGATAGAATCAGTATCAAGAGTTGCTGCAAAGTGTTTTCTAAAACACCCAGTTTGCACTAAAAGTCATGAAACATTAAAACACACACAGACTGGGCGTGGTGGCACGCGCCTGTAATCCCAGCTCTTGGGAGGCTGTAAACAGGTGGGTCACTGTAAGTTCGAGTTAGTAGTAAGACCTTGAACACCCTGTAGACTCTTCCCTAAAATACAAAAAAATAAAGAAAGAAAGAAAGAAAACAAAATAAAAAATAAAACACACACAGAGGAAAGTGTAACCTGTACTATGTTGGGAGGAGGGCAGTAGGAACTGTCTTTGAAGAGGCCCCTATTATAAACTGATCAGATGTTGACTCAGTTATTAAAATGCTCAAAACACTAAAGGAAGTCATGTTCAACGAAGTAATGGAAGGAATGACAACATCCCAGCAAATAAAGAACATCACGAAGGACACAGAAATTTTAAAAAGAACCAAGTAGAGATTCTGGAGTTAAAACGTACAGTAAGTGAAACAAAAATTACTGAACACTGGGCTGGCGAGATGGCTCAGTGGTCTGAAGCACCTACTTGGAACAAGCTTGGCAAAGCACAGCAACTGCGGTTTGATCCCCCAGCACCACATGCCAGCCAGCCC